TATATATATAAAAAAAAAAAAAAAAAAAAAAAAAACAAAAAGACGTAAACATAAAAGATCACTTTCTGCGCATATGGCGTCATTTTATATTTACCTTATCAAATCCTGCTTCCGTAAGACGTCCGCCAAGCGTTTCTCCAATACCAGCCAATTCTGTAACGGATTTCTCCCCCATTGGCTCAGCCACGAAATTTCTGTACTTTTGAGTGGTGCCCGACATTTTTTGAGTTTACTTTTTTAGTCGCGGAAGCTCTTAAACAATTAAACGAAATGGCTACTTCAGCGAATTTCGCGTCGTTTCTAAAATGACGCACAAAATTAATGTGGCAGTATTTGGAAAACAAGAAAATACAGAATCCAAAAATATCGATAGACGTAAAATACGATATTGATAACACGTTATGCAGTGTGAAAAAATTTGAATTGAGTTAGTAATTTAAATAGAAAAAAAAAAAAAAATAAATAAAAATAGAAATAAGAATAGTATATAATATTTAAACTAATTAAGCAACGATTTTTTTTATGAATATGTAAGTTTATTATAGCTATTGAAAAAATATAGCATACTTATGTACAGTAACTATTGCATAGTACAGCTAATTATTGCATAGCTTGAAGGGTGTCTTTTGGAATGACCTGTAAGTTGTTAACCTTTAAATTCCCTTTCCGACAACAATCAATTTTATATTTTATTCGAATATATATTTTTACCGCAGATGTATATGCATCACAGATTTGAGAGAACGAGCTGACATCTTTCTCAGGTACCGTTACTTTTCGAGAGCATAGCTAGGTCAATCTGAAGTTGAAGTGGACCTCACGCATTTCTTTGAGAAGCTTCAAGAACCAGAGAAGCTTTTTTTTATTTATTTCAAATTTAAATGCAGCCGTTGCATGCATCAGTGAATATTAATTTGGGTCTAACCCAGTTAACCCCTGTGGCGTTGCTTGATAAGCTGCTTTGGCTACAATGGATATAACTGTTGGAAGACAGTTCAGTTCCAGTCTTGATTGACAACTGGCCCTGGTCTCACTTTTAAATAGGCCGCCAATACAACAGCTATAAAACTCCCAAACGTAAGGGACGAATGCCTTAGTTGAACTGTAACGGGGGAACGTAAGGAAAAAAGCGACGTACAAACACAAAAATGATGTTGAATCTGGCGATGGGTTGGCTCTGCGTCACCGTYGTTTGGCCAGGTGAGTGAGTGACTGACCTGATTAATTTAAGTGCTTTAGTATCGCCGATCGTTGCAAATTAATTATCAAACTAAGAAACTGGTTTTCCATAAGGAGAGAAGGATCACTAAACGAGAGACCCAAGAACATCTTGAAGATGTTCGTTTAGTTGTCAGGCAACCGACAAGCAATCGAGATGGGCACGGGCTATGGACTCGCATGCATTTGCAATGTGATTAATCCCTGTCGCAATGAGGTGTCCAACACCTTTGTGGTCGTCCAGTGGCTAATAACAGGATTCGCTGCACTGGCTCAGGTCGTGCGACCCGTGCTGCTGCTTTGTAATGCCAAACTGAAAATAGAGAGTAATTGGAACTATTTTATGAATTGGCAAATTTTGTGTTCTCTTGGCAGTTGGCATACGCGGCGAGGTGATTTTGAATCAGGAGGATTACAACAAGACCTGGATCTATATGCCCAATGGCGATGGCAAGCCAGAGGTGGCCTATCTAGTAGAGCCGCCGCCAGAAGATCGCATTAGCTTACCGCAACTAATCAAGTTCGAATATTATGGCAGGTGAGAATTTCGCATTTGATCTGATTAAAACTATCTCTGATAAAATTGTTCCCAACTTAGCGACGCCCCCAATGAGATGATCAGCTCTAATTTCTGGATAGATGAGAACGATTTTGAGCATGAGCGTCGTAAGCGTGACACCTGGCAGGAAATGGCCGAAAAGTTCGATCCAAAGCTGGACACCAAAATCTTGGTGCATGGCTGGAAATCTAGCACCATGAGCAACTCCATACAGTCCATACGGGGTGCATATATCCAGCGGGGGCAGGTGAATGTGTTCGCCATCAACTGGAGGGATCAAGCTGATAATATCTACTATCTGACACCGGCTCGATATACTGTCCAAGTGGGTCGTGCGGTGGCCAAGTTGATTGATCTGCTGGTCGAGGAAAAGGGGGCGGATCCACAGCGCATTCATCTAATTGGCCACAGTTTGGGTGCACATATCATGGGTTATGCGGGCTCCTATACGAAATATCGTGTTGGTCGCATAACTGGACTGGATCCAGCACGTCCCGCATTTGAGGACTGCATTGGACCAGAGAATCATTTAGATGAGACGGATGCCAACTTTGTGGATGTCATCCATAGCTGTGCAGGCTATTTGGGATTTCGCAAGCCCATTGGCATGGTGGACTTTTATCCAAATGGGGGCGGGCCACCGCAGCCAGGTTGCACGGAAATCTCACAGATCTTCAGTGAGTAGATTGAAGGCATTATACAGAATACCAACTAATTTGTTCTTCTTACAGCCGGTTGCAGTCATGGACGCTCCTATGAGTACTTTGCGGAATCCATAAACAGTGAGAAGGGATTCTATGGCGTGCCGTGTGGCACATTGGCCGAGGTGAAGGGCAGGAACTGCACCGGCAGCAAGATTCTAATGGGTGATCCAGTGCCAAAGGATGCGCGTGGTATTTATCTCGTGAAGACGGCCAAAAAGCCGGCTTTCGCACTTGGTATTGACGACTTACTGCCCAAGGACTATGATGAGGACACTGACTAATTTACGAATTTCTTTTATTTTTCATTATCTATAAAACTTAAATTCAAACTTAACTTACAAATACAGAAAAGAACGACTTGCAATATCGAACTGGTTCATTTGGTTCAGGGAATGACATCCGTGCGCCGGCGTATGATATTGCTTCTCCGATGGCTGCCATTGGGTTGCAGCACATCGCCGGGTCGCGGCTCAATCTCATAGTGCTTGTAGCCATCCACATCGTCCAGCTCCTTGGAAGTGAACTTGGCTATCATAGTGCCTCGGCCGGCATATGGTGGGACATACTTAAATGTCGCAGCGGCCGTGCCACCAACTGGTACTTCAGGAATCTATAGGATATAAGAATAATTATTGGAGCTTGTTACTAACATTAAGAACATCGATACAGTCTGTGACGTCACAAATTTAGCCTACAGATCTCGTCTCGTTGTGCGCAACCTCTTTACATTTCCTAGCCCATGCTTATGTAGATTGTGACGTCACACGCTTGCTACTCTTGGATAACGTACCTTAAATTTGAGTGGCTGCTCTATGCCAGGTCCTTCCACTGTGAATAGCCCTTTGTGTAGTGCTATGGGCAGAGGATTGGTCAGGCGCAAAATTATATCGATTTCCTGCTGTGATACGATGCTGGCGTTGTCACCATTGCCTAGTTGCAGCTTAATGTCCGGCTTGCGCACACGGAAATCGTCCTGGGCATAATAATCGTAGTCGGTATCCTTGACGCGACAGGCCGCAGAGATCTGGAAGGCCGCCTGCGAGGACAATTTCTCAAAGTATTCGAAGAATGTGACCTCCATGCGCACAAACTCCGTGCTATTCGGTTTCAGATCCAGCTCGAAGCCCATGGTCTTCACCTCCTGTGCGCCCACACCCGTATAGAGCACTGCATCACAGTTAAGCTGGCCGGTGGCTTGATGAATGCGCTCCTGGCTCTTGTTGGTCACCTTGAGCACCACCGAGAAGTTCTCGCCCACCTTGATGTCGTCCTTCAGCTCCATGCTGAACTCCACCTCATTGAAGTTATCATTCAAATAATAACGACTGAAAGCATGACGAGATTGCTTCAAGGCCTTCAGCATATAGCTGCGCTCCTCCTCGCTGCGCTCGGCATATTTATAGCTATCGGTGATATCCTCACGCTCCCACTTCAGCACCGCCTTGGTGCTGATCAAGTGGCCAATGGCCAGAGTGTCCTTGCGCAATAGCTTTAGCGGCTGGGCGGGTCCATTGTAACGCCAATAGAGCTTATCGGCATTCACCTCCGAGTAGACAAAGCCGCAGTCGAAGGGACGCAGAATTTCGCCATGCTTCACTGCGAGCACTGAGGCGGGACCCACTCGGTACATATTATCCGATGCCTCCTGTGGCGTTGCATCCACCACCTGCCAGCCATCGTATGTTCCGTACTGTCCAATGCCCAAGTCGGGACGCTGCATCCACACCTCGTTCCACACATGATAGTTCCATATGGAGTCCGTTGTCTCCGCATCCAGTTTCTTATTGTTGGCGTCGATGAACACATCGACAGTCAGCGACGCTTGCGTATCATGGGCAGAGGAGTAGCAAGTGATGATGCGTGAAGGAATGCCCAAGGCACGTGCAATTGTGGTTAGGACACCACTGAAATTCCAGCATTGGGCGAACTTCACCGACTTCTGGGTCTTGTAGAACTGCTGCAAGATCTCGACGGAGCCCGTCCACTTGGTGGGCGCTGTACCGCCCGAGAAATCCTCGGTCCAGTTGCCCAACAGCACACCATCATCATCCACGGAGTTCACCAGAGCAGATAGAGCACGTGCCACACGCACCGGATCGCCTCGGTAGGCAGGTGGAATGCGTCCCACTGTTCCAAGGACTCGCAGGCTACACTCGAGCACATGGCGCTCGAATTGGCCAACCTTCCAGACCGAGGGACGCAGTCGATTGTAGGAGCCACGCCAAATCAGGGTCGTATCATGCATCACATACTCCTTGCGCTTATCCCGGTCCTCCATGTAAACCTGATCGTCCGGACACCAGGGATTAAAGAGTATATAGATGGGCAGTGGCAACGGGTAACTGCGCGAGCCATCGCCCAGCAGCTTCGTGTCAATGTCCAGACGCCACTCGGTTACCGGACATGTGGCCGGTGGCTTCACTAGTACAGTTAATATTTGACCCTCGTGCGATTCAATGCCGGCGCCCCACTCCAATGGATCACCCAGAAAATCGATACCATCGTGCGGCACCAGAGCCGTCAGAGTGCCATGTCCCGGATTCGGTTTGCTATCATCCGTCACGCTGAATATGAAGCTAATTGCATCTTTGCTGGGGCTGTAATCCCGATTGAAGTAGATGCGCAAACGAAATGGTTCGCCTCGTCGCACGATTAGCGCCTCCTTGGCAGCTGCCGCATAGAAGTGGCTCGTGTGGTGCTCGTCATGGTTGTCCGCCAGGCACAGATCCACACGCTGCATGCCCAGCACCGCAGAGCTACCGGCATCTGGAAGATTTAATGGGATAAATAATCGAAGCTAAGAATTTAGTTTACAGATGTCGAGGTCTACAAGTTGAAACAGGCAGGCGCGAACTAACGTTTTTGCAGATTTTGCAGCCCTGACCTAACTACTGGAACTTGAACTCGAAGCCATTCACAAAGGAATGTATATACTAAATAAATATTAGACGGATTTCTTAAATCAAGAGTTAAAACTTATATAAAAGTTATATAAATTTACATATTTGATCAGTGCTTGTAAAACTGCTTTCACACTGAGGCTTACAGAGCCGATAATCAGGAATTGTAAACTGAACCAGTAACTCCTAACTGAAATTAAATCTGAGCCAATTCCTAAAGCGCGCCAAGTTTTTGAATCACTTAGTTTTGTGTTATTTTATTTGCTAATAAGTAACACGGCCCGATGATCTCATAAAATAAAGCTGATCGCTTGTCATGTTGCAGCCGAAACGAATTATTTTAAATAATCGCCTTTGGCCATAAATATACAAAGTTTGCGGCTCACTGGCCAAACAGTTCAATGCCAAGTCAATTAATTCTCATAGTGGACAATCGGGCGTATGAACGATACATAAACAGAAGACGACGCCTACAACAAACAATCAAACGCATGGGCTATACCTAAAACTGACTGAAAATCGTCATCGTCAGCATCATCAAGATCTATGGGAATTAGCTGCAACAACATAAACAGCACTTGTGTTGATGGACAAATTTGTATACCAGAAATAAACTTTTTATACCATTCTTAAGAAAATAAAAAAAAATCCAATAAAATAAAATTGTCAAAGTATATTTATAAATATATACATACATATATGTATGCTCATAGTATATAATATGCTAACTATGACTGTCTACAGTAATACTTCGTTTATTCGCTTACTTTCGTGTAAGTTATTGTTCAGTTAAAAACCTGTTGAATTTGTCTCTATACTTTTTTTTACCATAGCTTTTTGAGCTATTATCTTACATGGCTTATAAATTATTCAAGCACCATCTATTGATATAGATTTTAGTGTATTTTTTCTCTTTTCTATTCAAGAGCCATCTCTTTAGCGAGCTATTACTGTACTTTGGCTGATATATTTGCTGTTGTTCTGTTGCCCTCTGTAGAGAATTATTCATGCAAAAGTTCTTTTCAAAACTAAATAATATTATTCGTTTGTTCAAATCGAATTTTTGAAATTTATAAGTAGCATTTGGCAATCTGATTTGATTTACGTATATAGAAAAACTAATAAACTGTAATAAATTGAAAACGAAAACCAAAAACATACAAAATTAAAAAAAAAAAAAAAAAAAAAAAAAAAAAAAAATCCTTGCAAATTTAGAGATTCATCTATAAAAAGCGGATCATTTGATATACGATCCAGCAAGTACATATGTATGAATTCCATTTCCACATGGCTGCACTTTGAGACCTCAACTATCAAAGCATTTAAATTTCTATTGATGTTTAACCTTTCGAAGAAGTGCCTTTGGATCGTAGGATGCTGAAATAGACAGCGATAAGATAAGACAGCTTTAGATGCCATCGTCAAGTTGAAACGTGATTCATGCTAATGATTGTTTGATTTATAAGCCAATCAGGAAATAAATATTAGCAACAAATAGAAGTGTGTAAAGCCAAATAAAATATGTACATGGTAAGCGAAATGCCGAAAAATCACAAAACATGTCAAACAACTATAATACAAAACACACAAAAAAAAAAAAAAAAAAAAAAAAAAAACGCGTGAAGTCATAGACGAAAAAATAAAAATATTTGGCATATAGGAGGATTTATAGAGAGAATACTGCGTACACTGAGAGAAGATGATATTGAGAATATAATTTAAATATTTGATAGCAAATCTGCAATCATTTTTATAAGTGAAATCATCTACCAATATATATGTATAATAACAAAATATTTAAATATATTTGATACATTTACAAATATTAATTTTTTTCTATAAATGATGATTTCTTGATGATTGATGATATTTAAACTAAAAACATATATCTACAGCATTTTTTATAATTTTCGTCAAGCTATTCATTTAAATTATAAAATGGTTCCTCTCACTGTTTCACAAAATTATTATTATTTCTCTATTATATTTTTTGAGATTTTTATCAAATATTATATTATTGTTGTTGAAAGAGAACACTTTTACTTTTATCACTGCATTTAATTATATATATTATCTATTGTATATTATATATATACATTATCGTTTTTCCATCGTTCATCTAACCAAAAATATATTTAATAGTTTCTATGAGATTTGTTCACAATGGGAAATTTTTTTTTTCACTGCACTTAATTACTTGCAATATCGGGACCGGGACGTATGCTTCGGTAGGGATTTATTGGTTTGGCAGGAGCCGGCGGTTGCCACCAGCGTTGCAGCCAACTGGGCGCATAGCTGCGATACCAATGGGTCATCGTCTCAATCAAAGACTACAAAACGTAACGGAAACTGCGCTTTAAGCTTGAACTATTGTATTTAGGTGCTCAGAAATTGTAAATCAAACACCGTACGCCGCGACGCTTCAAATAACACTGATCAATATCGAAGATTGAGATAGTTTATTTGCTGGCTGGCTGGTTGGCTAGCTGTTTCTGATGACCTCTCTCGCGCTCTTTCTCTCTCTTGTTATACTCTCGATTCTTCTATTGTCTGTGGCTTATAGGGCTGCCTACGCTGAAGGGGAAAAAGCTAGATTGATACAAACGCATTTAAATCGTAGAAACACAATAATTTAAATAATAATAAAAATCTATATACGAATATATAACAAAATTATTTTATGTTCATGTATTACATTATGATTCGTGCAACTAATAATTGCCATCTTTCTCTGTCGTAGCCATAGAATTTAGCTTTAAATGCGCTAAGGTTGCCATCTCTAAAATAGCCGTTAACTGATTTCTTGAACATCACTTCTCTCCCTCTCTCTCTCTCTCTCTCTGTTATTATTAATTATGAACGGGAAGCGTTTTTCTGGTGGGTCCGTTGGCGTTGCTGTGGCAGTAGAAGTTACCACCATCTGTTGCGCGGCTACGTCATCGGCAACATTCAAAGTAAAATCTGAAATCTTGAATCACAAGCGCAACAAATAGTGCCAATTAAATAGAATAAATAGCAAGAGCTCAAAATCATCTAGTAATTTGCATGCAGTAAAACAGATTTTTGAATGCTGTGTAATTAATGTTATTTGCACTATTTTTAGCTATGATCTCCAATTTAAAACTGTCTAGAGCAAAGAGTAAACATATTTGATAGACCACATTTTTTCACAGCTTAAATACACCTGATTATTTCATACAGCCTCAAACAGGTTGTCAACTGATAATACCTGTATTATCATACTATTATCATACTATTTAGTAGTTATAATAAATGCGAGAAAAACATATTCGCGAAGGTCAAATACCCTCCCAAAATTCAAACATACTACTTTAACTAAAACGATAAACAGAAATATACAAATCTGAAACCTTTTTTGCAGTAGAATGAACTCTCAGGTATTTTACCTGGAAATGAGCATGTGCCAAGCGACAAAAAATGTTAATGTTTATGTTTTCGATATACAGAATTTATGTTTTACAAGTGATTAATATAATGATTACTGCTTCAAAAAGGTTTGGCATCTAAGCTAATTATGGAATACAAAAGCTATTTCATCTCATGTGCGGGGGTTATCTGAATAATATTGAAACTTAATGTAAAGATAAGTTACTGTAGTTAAATAAGTTTGTTTTAATAAAATACCCTTCCAAAGATATTTATATAATTAATGATCCAATAATAAGTATTGTACATATATAATTATATTATTGAAGATGTCGGCTATTTTTGAGCCCACTCTCGTTTTCCACTCGCACACGAGTATCAAAATAATTTTTGGGAGCTGTTGTTTTACGTTTATTTTTGGTGTTTTTTCATTGAATAACAGATTCCAGGTGCTTGATATTTGCTTAATGTTCATTTGCGAGCTATTTAAGTAGAATTGATGAATAAGGCTTGCAAGCAGACTGCTTCAAGTGTTGACTAGATACATATATATGTATACATATATATATCTATATACATATATAATGTACATTTCAAAAAATTAAATAAATGGCTAGACTGTAGGCAACTAGTTTTGAAATGCACACGTACGCCCACAGCGAACAGCAAATTGGCATACAAAAAAGGTAAAATCGACATTAGGTAATAATAGTATGCAGTCTCATTATCATTGTCAAATGTAAACAAAGCAAATATTTGAAAAACAACAACAAATCTTACCTGGAGCTGTTAAAAGATTTGCATTAATAGTGCGCATACGCAGCTTTGAGTCGACTTCGCTTTTCGAGTGTTCGTCGGAATTTTCGTTGCGACGCAAGCAAGAGCATTTCTGACCCATTGTAGAATATTTGTTTAGATAAGCTAATGTTGACGAGTCTACAACTGTCTTCTCTGTCACACCAACTTGAGTATTTAAATCTAGTATCGCACACGACGCGTACCGTGCCTGCTGTCTCTTTCGCTCTCGCTCTCTATTTTCTTTTAAACTGGTTTCGAGAGAGCGCTTAGTATTCCCCAAGGTATTTATGCTTAAACATCGAATTCGAACTTAACACGCCCGCTGTCTACAATTAACTGACAATATTTAACGCTATAAAAAATTTAAATAAGAACTGTAACATAATTTCGTTTAAAATATTACATCATCAACACGTACGAAGCGACTGACGCAGCGCATCAACATTTTGCGACTGATCTATGCATACAGTGTTTTTTTTTTTCATTTTTATAAAAAGTATTTGATTTTCCATTGACTTGACCCTAGCGGCCAAGTGGCTGGCCTCGTCTCTCCAAAAAGAATAACCAGACATGCGTGTTCTAAATTGATCGGCTTTAATGGACTCAAGCAGCAACCGCTCTGATAACATTCTGACATATATTTGTTGTTTTGATTGAATTCGTTGATAATTTGAATTAGTTAACTAGTTGACATCTAAACTCAGGTGTTAAGTGGGTGCAAAACCGGATTGGCTGCGGCTGCCGCTGCTGCACTCTCTAAGGCCGCTGCTGTATCCTCCTTGCTGCCTGTTTGTGAGAGATGCTTAACGATATCTACCCAATCCCAGCCCCGTGCACGTTCGCCCTTATGATCGGTGCGTTCCCATTGACGGCGCTTTTGCGCTTTAGTCAACTGCTCTTTCTTCGGTTCCTTTTGCTTGGCGTCTGCCGTTGGATCTGATATCTTAAGCGCTCCAACACCGTCGTCTACGACAGCCACAGTGGGGGCAGTTTCAGGCTGTAAGGCAGTTAATTGTTCCAAATTGTCTTTAAGGCATTCGAAGAGTGTATATGTCATGCCACAGCCCAACCATTGTGTTGCCTCTGTTTTGAGTGCTGACTCTATTGCATCCTTCACAACGGGTAAGCTGAAAGTACAGTATTCTTAAAGCGATGCCCATCGTTGGGATATTTCATTAACACTCACAGATTGCGATTGTAGAAGGTATTTAGATTGATCGTGGGTGCCTCGTCGGGATAATTTTCGCCCCATTGTAGTTCCACTAAAAATGATTTATAGCTATCCTCTTCGCCATACTAAAGCAGAGAAACAAATTATTTATAGATATTTGCTGTGATTGGTGCATGTGGCTCTTACCTTGTATTGAAATGTGGTCAAGTTGATTTCTTTAAAATTTTCATCGCCTTCGTAAATGGATTGCAGAGCTTCGCGCTCATCTGTCTGCTGTTCGAGTGGTGTCGACATTCTGTGCAAATGTAATGAGTGTTTTCAAACAACACACTTTTCACAAAAATAATAGAATAAAGCGACAATTTAAACTAAATAATTTTTGGCTTTAATACAAAACAAAGCAACAGCTGAGTGCTGCCGGCAGCGAAGGAAGAACAAGAAATTTAGCATTCACAATGAAAGTATAAATATGTGCAGCACGAGCCATGAAACCACGCGCTCAATAATATATTAATTTTAAATGATATTCCTGACAATAAACGAAGATGTAGACAGCCAGATGGATAATGTCTGGCATATGTGCACGTAACTATTAAATACAAGAAAACGATATGAATTCAAAACATTTAAAAATGTGGCATCACCGGTAAAAAAGGCGGTAAAATTTCACTTATCAAATGCAGCCACACTGCGTAGAATATATAAACAAATAGAAGCATTGCGTAAAAAATGCAAGTGCGCGGGTGAATCATCGGCAATTGCTAATGTACATTAACTCATGTGTCTAGTGCGCCGAATTGTAAGCACAACAGCAACTTAGCTGAGCAGATAATCAGTTTAAAAATATGTCAATGGACGCGGACGCGGATCCAACAAAAGCAGCTACGGAATGTGCGCAATTGCTGGAATTTAAAGAATTTTTGTCCACAAGAGCCGTAAGCAGCGAACTGACCTCTGGTAACGAACTATCTCGCAATATTAATTGTGTAACGCGCAGCAGCACTGACACCTACAAAGTGAATGGCGATGAAAGGCGCGCGGAAATTATTTCAGCCGTTTGGAAATACTTATCAACCCGAGGCTGTCCGGTCTCCTTTCAGCTCAAGCTTCTCCATTTGGCAACCTCCCAGCTGGAGCAGGAGATTTGTCATGCCAAGGAGCTGGAGCTGAATGAGGCAGATGGCAGCGAGCCACAATATGATCTATTGAAATTACAAAAGTTTGTCAACCTACAGCTGGAGAAGCTGTTGCTTAAGTTGACGGACAATGCAGCCATGGAAAAGCTACAGACCTATGCAGATAATGGTGCGCTATGCAAGGAACCCTCTAGCTGCGCATGCGCCTTACAGCCCGCAGCACCATCGCACAGTGTCGCAGCTGTTAAGAATAAGCCGCGTAAAATGGAAGATCGCCATGTGTGCCTGGAACGTTTTGGTGAAATGTATCAGATAGAGGATCACAAAGATTGCCGTTTCTTTGGCGTCTTCGATGGCCATTCAGGTGCCTTGTCCGCCACCTATGCAACCAGTCAAGTACCCCAATTGTTGGCCAAGCAATTGCAGCGAGTGCGAACTAATGGGGAGTGCACTGTGGACTTCTATCGCAACGCCTTCGAGGCGTCCTTTTTGCAGGCGGACGAACGGTTTGCTCGCAAACGCATCACCAGCGGCACAACTGCTGTCTGTGCCCTGATTGTGAACGGACAGCAATTGTATATTGCCTGGGTGGGCGACTCCAAGGCGTTGCTTGTAGGTAAACGGACTCAGCTGCAGCTGGTCAAACCACACAAACCAGAGGCTGTCGATGAAAAGCGGCGCATCGAATTGAGCGGCGGCAGCGTCATTCACGCCCAGGGCCAATGGCGCGTCAATGGCATCTTGAATGTGGGTCGCTCCATTGGCGACTACAGCCTGGAAGCTGTCATAGCTGAGCCCGATTTTGTCGACGTGCAGCTAAGTGAAGCACATGACTTTTTGGTCATGGGCAGCGATGGGCTCTGGGATCATGTACCCGAGTCCTTCGTTGTGGAGACCGTCTATCAGTGCTTAGCGGAGCCGGCCACCCAACTCGAAGACATTCCCAAATTGCTTGTGGAGGCTGCCAAGGATAGGGACTCACAGGATAATATAACCGTTATCCTCATTCTGCTCAAGAAGCGCGACCAAATCGTACAACGTTAGGCAATCAAAAGAACAGAATGTTGTTTCCAGATTATTATTATAGTTATTCTGCATTTGTTGTCTGTTTATCACACACATATTTTTGATTATTATTTTTTAAATATTTTTATTTCCATGTAAATAGCTTTAGGCTCGCTAAATTTTCCTATTTTCGATTCGATTCAACCACATTCGTCTGTGCCTCTCGAATAAGCTTAACATTTTGATCCAACTATATGTATATCACATTATATACATATATACATGCATTTTAGAGATATATCATATATGTATTTATATAGATACTTACAGGTAAAATCATAATAACCAAGAAGTTAACATTGTTTTTGGCCGCTTTTTAGTAGCTCACAGTGCTTCCACCCGATTCGATTGCTGTATATTAAGCAACCATATATGAAGCAAATATATATATATATATATAGTTGTAGTTATATATATAATCTATATATATAGTTGCCCAGTTGACAAACGAAACGAAAATCCAACGAATCACTCGATTTTACAAACAATTTTTGCATAATTCAATGTAATAACTAATGGAGAATATCGATAATAATGAAAATCTTTAAAAGAATATACATCTTAATCGGAGATCCTTAAATTCAAGACCCTTGCCAAAATTTAAAAAATGTTATATCATAAGTATAAAATCTATTAGTAAAATATATTATAGAGTACATAAATTCAATTCACACAAGCAATATACAATTTTTGAATAATTAGCTTTTTTTATTATTCAGCAATTATATATTTTAATAAACACAAATTTACAAATTTATTTAAAACACAA